ATTACTAACTATAATCTATTTTCAAATATTTATGAACAGGTTTCTCATCATGTGCCAGTCAATTCAATCATGACTTCCATAGAGCAATTGAATGTCGTAAATATTAGAAAAGTAACTACCAGAATATGTTTACAAATCAAGCGACACAACTGTAAGTAATATTTGTGTTCTATACGCAACAAAGTATATGAACTTTATGATTCTTGTGGTACAGTAATATCTTATTGCGTCGCAGGTACATTTATTCATTGGGATCTCACGATAGTGAAAAAATGAACAGTTTAAAAATATAAGAATGTCGTATTTTCATCGTTTAAATAATATAAACACTACTCACATATAACAAAAAATATGCGCATAAAGTAGAAGCCTACTTTGAGTTTGTCGCTGTGTAACATCTATCTTTTAAAATCTATACAGATATCTCTGTGTACGTCCACATAACAAAAATAAGATTAATATACATAGCTAAGAGTGTGGAATTTGTTTGGCTTGTTATTAATTAGATTCTTTCATTTACTCGACAGCTGCTTTTTTAGTGGGAACTCCGTCGTTGGTATCGCTATTACGCCTCTTCCTTAGACCTCTTTGTGCATTACGACCTAAGATACATATTTTGTAAATTGAATACTTCTACTTTGACGACTAACGAAAAATATACGATCGTTAATTATTCAGTAAATGTTAGAGTTCAACTCAACGAGATCCAGATGATCCCTCAGTATTAGCATGGCAGATCATCATTACATAATTAATACGAATTGTATCTATTATTACTGTTTTTATTGAATGTTTCAATAATTTACCCTTCTTGCCTGCCCGTTTTCCTTTATTATAAGACTTTTGTTGCCTTAGCATCGTCATTTTTTCTTTTGCTTTTGCTAAGTATTCCTCTTCTTCTTCACCTTCAAGAATCCGGCACACAACTTCTTTTTTGTTGATCAATACCTTTTCAAATATATTCAATGAATATTTACATATTATGCATTAATAATTTATATATCGATATTGTTTTAGTTGCTTACTCTATTATTTTTCATTTTATCAACTAAAGTCTTTGCAGAATTCTCTCCTTGTAGGCGAACCCAACCCTGCTTATCACCCATTCTAAAATCGACAAACGCAACGCTGGCTTGAAGTTCGCCTAAACGTTCCTTGATATCTTCTCTTTTGCATTTTTCAGGTACATCGGAAAAGTGAATTACACAACCCTTAGGTAAAGTTGTTTCTTTCTCATTTTCCTCTCCACTATCTTCATCCATCTTTTCTTTCCCCTGGAAGAAATTAACTTTTTCAATAAACTTATGTATTACAACATCAATATCAGTGCAATCTAATTATTTATTATTTTAGGTATATCAAATAATTGTTTTTGTACTAACAGTGTCATTTTTCTTTGCTTTATGTTCAGATCTTTTCTGTCTTTTGTCTTCCTTTTCTTTTGCCTTTCCTATGGCATAATCAACTCTAAACATTAAAATTACATATATTTGATTATATGGAATTAATCAAATGTAATACATGGTAATTTAAAAATACTTATACTTACGACCATTTTTTAATTAATTCAGTATTTCCATACTTAATCAATTCTCTAGCCATAAAAGCTTTTGCATCTTCCAGTGTCCTGAACTGTACAAAGATAGATCCTTTAAACCGTAACTTTTTATCTGCAGTGCAATATTTCCTCATCTATTAAATAAAAAAATCATCTGAAAATCTAAACACTAATTTGCCGGTTTCCTCTAAGTTTAGATACGGAATATTTAAAATGAGAACACTTACAATAATATTTTCAAATGGTTCAAAATCACTAAAGAAGTTTTTAAGTTTCTCAATATTTGTGTCATTTAATGGAAATCCTTTTAAATAAACTGTTCGGGCTTCCTGTGCTTTCCTATATTCTTCATTATAAACAGGTAAAGGATGTTTTGGTGAGCGACGAATTTTTTTTCTGTCCTCTGATATTTCTATAAGTTCACTAGACTCCAATGCCTTCAGTATCGTATCAGAATTCTTGCTCATAGAGGTTAACATTTTAAAATTTAACATGATAGACATTGGTATCCAACCGTTATCCAATTTTGTTTGGTCAATGAGAAACTTATCTTTCTGCATGTTAACATCTCCAAAGTAGAACTACAAATGAATACAATTGTTGTAGTTAAAATAAGTATGATTAGTGAACAAGCAAGAGCATATTCAAAATATTTAATCCTCCACTGGTAAACTATTATTTACTAATGCGATTGGCGATCTGAATCCCTTAAGCCTGGGCTTGATTTTTGTATTGTTCTAGTTTCTACTTTAATGTACAATTGATGATTAAATTTTTTTAGATGGAGGAAAAAGATAGCCCAACCCTTCCAGTTCGAAGATATTTAAGGATAGAAATAGCCTTGCCTTAATAATTGTTGCAAGTATCAAAAAATGTCTCTTTAAGAATCTAGGACAAACTAGAGTTCTTGACACTTTTCAAAGATTTTGGAAAATAAAATCACGAACACTATGAGAGGATAAGATAAAAAATCAACAAAAAATAAGTTTTAGAGGATGGAGTCAACCTGTAGGAAATCAGTCAATCCTAATTGAGGTTGAGGATAAAATACGACATACTTAACCTCTTGCCATAATTTGACGTAATTTGACGAGTCTGACTTGTGATAACAATTTTGGTCTAAACATGAATACTATGAGTCAGACTCGTGAAAAGAAATGCAGGCCAAACGTAAACATCACGAGTGAGACTCGTGGAGAGTTTCAGGATTGCAGGATTTATAGTACTAATATTTATGTTTTGAAGTATTGACTAAGATATTGTACTAAAAATATGTATAGAAAAAAGGAACAAGGATTAAATTAGAGTTGACGTCCACAAGAACAGTATCGTTTGGAAATAAGTAAGTCTATAGCTATATAACAGATATCCGCATGTCGACTTCTATTATGATTGTCTCGTGCATTACGCTGCCCATTTAGTGTGCGTCATCCCAACTGCTTGGGCACGAATTTCGTTGAGCTAAATGGTATGGCAAGGGGTTATATGTTGACTAAAAAAATGATAGTTATCAAGACATCACTTTATACAATACTAATAAAATTGGTGAGTGAGGTTGGAAAAAATTTCTTAAGTAAGCTTACTGTTTAGCTCAAGTAAACAAAATAAAATAAAGTCAATAAATAAAATAGGAAGAGATTGAAAAAACAAGATTAACTGTGAAAACAGGCAGTTAAAAACTATAATTAAAGTATAATAAAAGTAGAAGTGCTTTGTATTATACTTTATACTTAATTTATAGAATTTAAATATTAACCAAGGACCTATATGTTAATCAAATCCATTTCTTAGTCTATTGATAAAAATTAATAAACTAACTAATTAAATATTATCACATATTTAGCTTGAAAGTATAATACATAATAAAGCTGAATACCCTATACATAGAATATGATTATGAACCTACTATGCACAAATTTAATTAACTGTTGTATACGCAGTAGAACTCCACTTATCTGAACTTCATTTATTGGAACAAAGTTTTGAGCAATATCCAATGTGTACTTAACTTCTGCTGAACTCTTATTATCTGAACTAATGTCAAACGTTAGACCACTTATGCGAACACCTATTGTTATCATCTGAGAAATGAATTAAGTGTTTGATTAAATCCATTTATCTGAACGTGAACTCCTATAATCAGTGGACTTCTATTATATGAATATACCCTGTTATATGACCTAGTTGTTTCTCAGTGTTCATATAAATGGGAATCTACTACTATATTAATAAATAATACCTCAACTTGACTCTTTATTTTAGTTAAGAGTTCACTGGAAGGCTCTTCAGTTTTTTCATCCGTTATAGAATTTTCTTCAACGTTAGGAACAGGCTCCTCGCATTTAACCTCGTCTTCATTCTTTATGTTAGTTAAGAGTTCACTGGTAGGTTCTTCAGTTTTTTCAACCTTTATAGAATTTTCTTCAACGTTAGGAACAGGCTCCTCGCATTTAATCTCGTCTTCATTCTTTATATTAGTTAAGAGTTCACTGGTAGGTTCTTCAGTTTTTTCATCCTTTATAGAATTTTCTTCAACGTTAGAAACCGGCTTCTCACATTTAACCTCATCGCTTGAGGCATTCACGGTTTCAGAGTTAACTTCTTTCTTTCCGTTTTCCATTTTTCCGTCTTTTTATCGAGCACACGTTTAAAGCAATTTTATTGCATCTATTGTTTATGAAATGAAAAGTCAAACTTATTTATCTGTAACAATTAAACGCAAAACAGCATGAGTCACACGTGCCTGTACGTTCACGAGAACCGGAAGTAGAGGTTACAAATGATTCAAATGAATATCCTACAGCATCAGAACTGTACATACATATATACATAGCACTAAATAAAATTAAAATATGTATATAATTATAATGCACACTGGAAACGTAATATTGATTTTAATCATATAATTTTCTTGTGATTACTTACAATATATAATTTTTCCTTTATTGTATTCAGCTTTGATTTATTTTAGCAGTTGTCGCATACAACATGCAGTTGAATTGATTCGTGCCGCTTATTTACAGACACGGTACGATTCGGACGGCAAGGAATTAGTGAAATATTGTACATTAGAATTTGTAACCAGGAACCGGAAGTGAATTCAACTCTTACCTGATTTTAATTTTAAAAATTGAAAAGTTTAACTACAAAATTGTACACTTTATTAATACAGAATCTGTTATTAATACAGAATTTAGTAAAATCATGTTTTAGTATTTTATTATAATATATTGGTTATACTTGTGATTATACACTAACTATGGATTATATAAAGCATTTATTGTGCAAAAAAATGTGAGAAAATACAAAAAAATGTTAACAAAATTAATTAGTATTTTTCGATTATGTACATTTAATCTACTGAAATATAAAATAGGGAGATAAAATTGGTGTCACTCCTTTCTAGGTATACGTATGTATACATGTATATACATATGTACATGTTACATATCGTATGTATGTATATATTTGGAATTTATTAATTATTTTAACAAAAATAGGTAAAATTATTTAATCTATATTTTATAAATAAAGCATGATATAATGTATGAATAAATGTAAAGAAATTACGAAAATGAGAGAATTGTCAAGTTAGTGTATATATCCTTACGTACAAGTTTAAATCTTAGACATTGGTATGAGTGTGTAGTGAAGCTGGTTGCTTCTCCAAGTAGCTTCGCTCCCTTCCGGTTCGCTCTGTCGGGGTGACTGTATCTTATTTAGTTTAGCTGTAATTAAATCTTTCTCCATCTTCCACCATGAGGATCTACAAGGATATTATCACCGGTAAGTTCATTCAAAATATCCTAAAGTAACATATGTAATTAATATTTTTTAAATTATTTATTACGTTAAACTATAAGTTAGTTGAATTTCATTTAAGTGGTATTCGTAATGACGTCTCTGTTACAAATGCCGACGTTTTGACAATGATATTCTAGAAATATATTTTTACAAGTATATAAATGATTAAAATGAAATTGTATACTATCGCTATTTAACGTAACCAAGGATGTGAAACCTCATTATTTAAATATTCAACATTCTCATTTATAACCTCTCCATATGTCTGAAATAACTCGTTTTGAGCACGAGTTCATTGAGAACAATGACTCACAACAATCAAAAAGAGAAGAAATAAATATTTAAATCGATTTCAATGTTACTGATGTATGAATTTATGATTATATTTTGGATTGCAATACTCAGTCTGACTGATTTAATTAAATGTTTGTATCACAGGTGATGAGATGTTCTCAGACACCTACAAGATGAAACTAATTGATGATGTTATGTACGAAGTCTATGGCAAGGTATAATGTTAAATATTGTATTGTATTGAACAATTAAGGCAGACGATTGTTAATTAATTATATTTATTTCTTTTTGGAACTAGACTGTCACTCGTAAAGCTGGAGAAATAGAAATTGCTGGATTCAATCCATCAGCAGAAGAAGCTGATGAGGGCACAGACGAAGCAGTGGAAAGTGGTGTTGATGTGGTTTTAAACCACCGACTCCAAGAAACATTTGCATTTAATGATAAAAAATCTTATACTCTTTATTTGAAAGATTACATGAAAAAGTAATTGTCACTATTATTATAGGTTTTTTTGTTTTTATGTAATGTATTTAATAATTATTGTTTTATCAGATTAGTTGCAAAGTTGGAAGAGAAAGCACCTGATCAGGTGGATGTATTTAAAACAAATACCAACAAAGTTATGAAAGATGTTTTGAGTCGTTTCAAGGACCTACAATTCTTCACCGGCGAATCTATGGATATTGATGGTCTAGTGGCGTTAATGGAATATCGTGACATTGATGGTGAATCTGTGCCTGTACTCATGTTTTTCAAACATGGTCTTGAAGAGGAAAAGTTCTAAATAATTCTAGATATGCAATAAATTATGGAAAAAGATATTGTAAGTTTAAAACCTATTACTAGCATTCTTTTGGTATGGTATACAAACTTAAATACACACATGTTAATTCATGCCTTATATTTGGATTAATGGTATTTGGCATTGCACAAACATGTAAGAGGAAATTGGTGAACAGATTCACGCTGTGGTGAATTATTTGAACACAGCGTCTATTTTAGCCAGACATTTTAGTACAAAATTTAAATGATTAAATATAATAAATGCTGAACAAAAAAGATACTGATTGTTTGTTTATTTTCAGATAAACTTAAACCAAGACTGTACACATGCTGGAAAGCTGTGAAATTTAGTTAAAGAGAAACAATTTTACTTCCAATCTCACATATACAATGCAGTTAACTTATTTTTTTCGAAAAAAAGGATCTATTAACAACAATATCAAAGAAAGTAATATTTGTACATATGGCGTGACTGAAAGGAAAAATAATATATGGTGATCACTCAATGTAACTGTATTTGATTCACTGTGGTGTTTGTAATATTATTTTCTATCTACTTTTTTATTCAATATTATTGGAACTTTTTATTTATGAGACAAAAAATGGAAGATGGGGAAAGAACTTTGCAGCTGTGGAAACATTAAAGTATGTCTGTAATTACTGTTAACATCAAGAATTGTCAGTGAATAATAAATATATGAGAAACATACTCTGTATCATGTCCATCAGAAATAAAACAGCGTTTTCATAAATACTGCCCATTACCTACATTTTATTATTGTAATAAGAAAGAATGAATCTTAAATAGATTTATATCTTTAAAAAAGAAAGGAATTCTGTACAAATTTATAGGTGAATATAGGACAACAGAAAATAACATTTCATTCGCTTCATAAAAATATTATATTCAGATAAGTCAGAATAGACTATTTATCTCTTGGCGCAAGACCGTACATCATATTTCTTTAACCAAAGATTGTTTCTAATCATACTGTTTTACATGTACATTCATATGACTTATCGCACTTTTTCCACTGACATCCATTCTTTCTCTCTTACTATCGCTCCTGCACTCTTTCATTTTTACGTTTATATAATTTATATATTCTTCGTTCTTTACGCATCCTTTTGTGAATATATTACTCTTAATTCTTTATAAAACAGTTTCCACCTCAATGCTGAATCCTTGGTATTCCAATATTATTTTTCATCATACCGTTACCTGAAACAGTATCGCGTATACACATATAAAAGCGCAGCTTAATCATTCTAGTAACAATTTATATGTAGCAAAAATGAACTACAACAAACACGCGAGCTATATTCCTTTAACAAATCATGAACTGACAGTTGCAGCTTAGAGACAGTAATATGTAGATGGACTGAACATGTGTATGTCCATGCATTTTGAATTTTGTAAGTACATATGTAGAATGTACACTTTAGTACACAAGTACATATATACAGCTGTACACTCATTGCTTTACCTACTTAACACAACCATACAAAGTGTTATTGATAACTAAGGCAGTTTGAAATAATATCGACATGGATTATCAAATGAATGAACAATGACAATTTAAAACAACAAGTATAAATGGTGGAACATTTTTATCAATATAATAATTATTTCTAGAATGTAATATTTGTTTCCAAACATCAATGTTTAATTTCTTTTTCTAATAACATTCTTATAAATTACAAGTCCTGTGTACAGATAATTTATCAATGTACAATCAAATTATAAAAAATTTACTTAATGAAATGTGTATAGAATTTTGTCCTTTTGATGCAAATGAAGAAAATGTTTAAACATGGATTATTGGGCCATACCATTATCAAAAAAACAGTTACTTGTAACGGCAGTTGTGTGAGTCAATTTGACGTTAAATATAGCATTTATCAATACATAAAGTTTATGACATTTATATACACAGTATTACACAGAAGGATTTAGTACTCTGGCTTGTAGCTTAATTCATTGAAGGTACAATGTTTTAGTAGGACACCAGCTACTGTTTAAGTGGGATGTACCTTACGTGTTTAGTAAGATCAAACAATTATTTTATTATTATTTATATTAAACTTATTTGTACTGATCTATGTAGAAGGGGTGCGTGAAACTTTTTCTGGAACTTTAATCAAAAGAAAACCACTCATAGAATTTTAATGTAACAATGATATTCTTTTTCAATCATTGAAAGAATATGCAGATACAAAATACAGAAAATGTTAGTCATACAAGCTGTGTTCGATAGTTACAGATACATCAAGGGTAAAGGATTTTCTAAGTACCAAATAACAAATGCAATAAATATAAAGTAAACTATTTTCCACGTTTACTTTACTACTGCGTCACTGTACAGAAAGTTTACAACGCACCACATTCTTCCACTCTAGGACACTGTTACTAAGTAAAACATCACTACATACAATTTGAGCATCGTACCATCTCTATGATAGTTCAAAGAAGTATGGCAAAAGCATCGAGTTTACAATCGCTTCGTATACAGAAGCGTGCCGTTATTTAACATATTTTCAACGCACATTCCAAATTTTATTCTCTTGAATCCTGTTACATTAATCAAATGATGTGATTGTAGGACACATATTTTAATTATCTCTGCCATTATCTTTGTTATTCTACTGACTACTACTGAGGTTTTCATTATTGTTTGTGAAAGAGTTTTGTTTATATATCCATATATTATATGTATGTATGTATAGATATCATCGTTTTAACATTTATATATTTTTATATGAAACTTCATTCACAGGTAGCAAGCATTCACGCCCTCCAATCCAAATGTTATTTGACATCTTATTTGTTTTGTTTTATTATTACATTGAGGAATTAGATGAGGTGTCCGCAAAATGCGCTTCGTTCAGAGGTAATTTTGGTCAAGATGTAATTTCAGACTGAGTATAAAGAAAAGAAAATATTATCTTTGAAATATTATCTAGGGGATAAATTACAAAATTGTTATACACTTTCCCTGTGATGCAATATCGGTTTATGAAATCTATAAACTGTATTACTTTGCTAGAAATTATTTAAAATTGTAAAAATGAAGTCGTTTAATTTCCAAGGTTGATCTTGTAATTTAGTAGAGAATAGTAATAAATAACACAACAAGCATCTAAAATGAACAGCACAACTGTAGTAATGTTACAGAAGGAAAGTCGGAAATTTAATATTGTGTTCTTTTCATGGTATGCATAACATTAAAAACTCTCATCAAATAGATAACAATAACCAACAACTAACAATCGTAAGCATTCACGCAAAAATAGAA